CAGCCTTCCCCCGCCCCGGTCCCGTCCCGGCTACTCAGACGGGACGCTCCGCCCGTTCAAACGCTTCGCCACGCGGGCCCTAGAAGGCCCATCGCCAAGGTCTGTGCGGGAGACGCCACGGCAGAGGCCGGTCCTGGGACAGCAGTTCCAGCTTCAAGTAGATCATGGAAATGATGGAAGAGGAAACCTGCCAGCGGCGCTGCTGGGCCTGTGCGAGTGGAGCAGATTAATGCGCTATTTTCTATGCCCATTTTCCATTCTTCACCTCTCTGCTCGAAGGACTCCGGGAAAGGCTGTGTTTTGACAAAGGCTTTAGATAAAAGCCTTGCAAGACTACTGAAAAAGAGAGCGCGCCATATAGCATTGCTGACAGTAGGCACCGTGCTCCACAGCAGATCTCTGCGGCCCACTCGTCCTGCATGACTAAAGCGTCACACCCGCCGAACAACCGCCCGTTTCCCTGCCCCCCAGCCCCTGGAAACCGCTGTTCTACTCTCTGCTTCCATGAGTTTGAGTATTTTAGAGGCTTCCTGTATGTGCAATCATTTATTAAGTGAAATAAACCAGTCACAGAGGGACAGATACTGCAGGATGCCAAACAACGGATTTTTGATGGTGATTAATATGATCCTGTATAAAATAGAGACATTTAATAAAATACGGTATGCAATAATTTAAGATGTTTCTCATAAAATAAAAATATAACATGTACCAAACATATCTAAAGGTACACATTAGCTAGCTGAACAATTTACATATAAATAAAACATACCTGATATTTAGACATACCACAACATGGATGAACCCTGAAGACATGCCAAGTGACAAAAGCTAGTCACAAAGGGCAAATATTATATGATTCTACTTATATCAGTTCCCTAGAGGAATCACATGTATAGGAATAGAAAGCAGAATGGTAGTTGCTAGGGGTGAGGGGGAGGGAAAAATGGGGAGTTAGCGTTTAATGGGTATGGTGTTTCACTGTGGGAAGGTGAAAACGCTCTGGAGGTGCCTGACGGTGATGGCTGAACAACAGTGTCAATGTACTTAATGCCGCTGAGCTGTACACTTAAAGATGGTTAAAAGTAAATTTTATGTTATGCATATTTTACCACAATAAAATTTTGATAAAATATTTATCTAATCTTCAACCATTATATATATACATATACATATACACATACATGTATACATTTATATGTATGTACCATGTGTGTATGTTCCAAAAAGTATGGAAGGACATGTAGAAAATAATCTGGGAAAAAATTCTTTTACTTGTAGAGCTATTTAAAATGCTAATATAAGTTTTGACTCTTTAAAGGAAAAGCTGGTACAGTAGTCAAGTGAAAGAAGCATAAACCAAGACTCCAACTCAATGTATCTAATTTTTATTGTGATGCTGTCTCTGGATATCTTTCATATTTTTAAAAGATATTATTGAATGCTAAAATACTTCCCAAGGGCCAAGGGAAATATATGTATGTTTAGTGGAGAAAAGATTCCTGTGGTGTCTGTGGTGTCTTAATAAATATTAACAAAATGTTTATGCAATATAATCATACTAAAACCTAGTATCTGCTTATTGAATGGAACATTCCCCATTCATTTCCGTGTGTACTTTTTTCCTTATGTGACAGAGAACTGGCTTACTTCTGAGCTAGAGAATTCATAAATATTTTAATTTTTATGATCCAGAAGAATTTTCCTCGGGTCCCACAATGAAATTCTTTTTCTTTGCCAATATGCTTCAGTGGTTAAATATGCAAGGGAAACCTCTGTCATAAATTTAAAATATTACTCTAAGAGATGAACTCAGTGAAATTTCACTGAAATTATGAACAATGGCATATCTCATGCTCTGATTAGAGATGGTGAAGTATCTTCCATAACCACAGAAATTTAAATGAAAGCAACCAAATAAACAAAATCATTTTTTATAACGAATACATTTTGTTTATAATATAAATTGATGATCTTTGAGATTTTATAAATATTTAGTATTTATCATACAAGGTATCATAAGGCATTTATTCATTTCCAGAATGTTTGGCCCTCCTGGTTTTCTTCATCTAGTTATATAACTTTAGGGTAAACTTTTTGAATTATATATAGGAAATATTAATGGAATGCCTTCAACTTTGGTGACTGGAATTTGATTTATATTTTATAGTGCAGTTAAATTCTAGAATATTAGCTTTAAAAAAAGTCCTTTGAAGTGTACTGGAACAAATGCCAGTGCTAAAAACAACTGAACAATGTGCCATGATTTTTACAGAAGTGATTGTACCATTTTGCTTTTATATATATATGGTGATGGCTTTTAAAAATTAATTTTCATTTTTCCAAGGACAGTGGTTTTTAGTGTTCCATGGAAAGTGCAATAACTGGCATTTTAACTGATAAAACATCCAAGCAATGAAAGAAAAATGGTTTGAATTGTTTCTTCTAAAGCCAAATTTCAATATTTCTACAACCCAAAGTTATTGTGTTTTGAAATCCTCTTTACTACTTTGTAGTTGATGACACAGGCACAGTTGTGAAGAGTCTGTGGAAGGTTTGGTGATGCTTGGATTGTGCTGCACTTTCCATTTCCACACTCAGTGATCTTATAGCCCTTTCACAACATTACCTAGCTGGGGAGTAGGATGGTTACTAGCATGATAGATTACTATAGTGGCTACCTGCAGTGAGTAAGATTGTTATTTGCATGGACTTGCTTCCTTTGTGTATTGAGATAGGATTTATTTCCCTGTTGGGACAATATTGAATTTATTGCTCAAACAGGGTCACTTGAGAGGAAAAAGGAGAGGTATTAATTATTCTAGTTCAACAGGCATTAACTGAGGCAATGCTGAGCCAACACAGATGTGTAGTCACCTTACCAATGAAGATTTTTCATGCCAGGGAAGGGCGTCTCTTAGGAATTGGGGGTATCCTTGTAGGGGGTTGGGGTAGAAAGATCTCTTAGGAATTGGGGGTATCCTTGCAGGGGGTTGGGGTAGAAAGATCTCTTAGGAATTGGGGGTATCCTTGCAGGGGGTGGGGTAGAAAGGTCCCTTGACCAAGTTTATAACCAAGAATTTGGAACTTGTAAGCACATTTAAGAGGTCGAGTATATATTTTGAATTGTGCATATTTCTGCACCCTACCCACTGACTTAGAAGAGCTGGGAGGTGGCCTAGTAGGTGGCAAAGTTCTTAGAGGACCAAGAAAGTAGACCAGAGGATTTTCTGGATGTTCAGGGAGACAGTCACAGGTAGGTCATAGGTACTGAAGATTAAAACAAAAAACAGAAGGTACCCTCCTTTGAGAAATGTTCTTTTTGTTTTTGTTTTTTATCAATAGAAGTATCCTATAAACTCTTGTAGCCTCAGCTGAGGAAAGAAAAACATATCCAGAAGCAATAAATTTCCACTTAGATACGTGGGTAAATGGCCTTTCCTTGTCATATTGATTCAACATTAAGTAATGTGCACCATTTTTCATTATTATACTATAGTTAACTCGTTTTTATTTTTGTGTGAAATACATTTGAGGAAGAATGTAATATTTGCTTGTGAAGAAAAAATATTTTACATTATATATCCATTATATGATTATTTAAACAAGCATATCTCTGAGGTCTAAACATTTGATTTACCTGTAGAGGAAATTCAGTGGCATTGTTATTTGCATAGTGCACTTTAGTGTTTTAGAGTTGACATGTTAGTGATGAAATATCTGGTCATGAAGCCAGGCATTCTTGTTTATAGAAATTTGAAAATCCTTTGATTAAGATATAGTGAGCTTATTCGATATACTTGTCAAATGGTCATATTACTGAAAATTGAAAAAAAATGTTTAGGAGCAAGCATATAGTAATGGAGTCTTTTTAATTAAGAGACAGAGTGCCTGGTTTAGGCAGAATTCGAAGTATAAGCTTTCGCATCAGACAATTCAAAGCCTGGATATTCCATTTAGTAAAACTTACCACAGGCAAGTGACTTACTGCTAAGGTTCCATTTTTCTTTTCGGGGAGTAATTACACCTACTGTGTAGGGTATGTGTGAAGACTAATCATATATGCAGCATGCCTTGCACGCACTTGGAGCTCAGTGGTAACATGTCTATTGTTATTAAAATAATAGCATTATGATCTTAGAGAAAGTGTGAAAACTAGGTGTTTTCTAAGATTTATTTTTTGCTCCTTTCTGCTATTATAAAAAATGCATCTGCATAAAGAGAAACATAGAAATATTTTAAAATTAATTGTATTAATTTATTCCCCAATCTACTATGATTCTTATTTTAGGAAATAAGCACATAACTAATTTCTCAAAAGCACAAGTCAACTTGTTAGAATTTCTAGCCTACTACCCAGCCCTCTAAAACTTATTTTTCTCTCTCTCATTTGTTGGCAAAACTAGGAAAAATGCTTAGGAAGCTTATCCCAAGTCCTGACTTACTCTAGCACTAGTTCTGTTGTGATAAATGTAGGAACTCAAAGTATTTTCAAACAGCAGAGTTCAGAATATCTAATTTACCTGAAATTCCAAAATGGTCAGCATTTTTTTTTTTTTAGAAACTGTTAAATAGCATAACAGAAAGAATGCCAAGGTGCTGAACTCAGCCTCTTTAGGTGTCCAGGATGAATTTAAATTCCCTCTGTTTCAATGAATTTTGTTTTTACTACCATCTCAGCAGGCAAATCTTGTTCATCTTGGCGGGTTATTAGTTATTCCCTGGAAAGCCGTAGCGTTTCACCTTGCATCATTAAATTCAATGGAGATGGCCAACCAGGATAAAGTGTGCCAGACTTGCAGACAGGAGAATATAGAAGGGCGATGGCTCACGTAGCACATGGAAAACCTTGTGAAGCTGGAAAAGTAAAACTATCTTGAGAATCAGAAAACGTTCATTGCAGAGTAGAACGATTATTCTGACCTTCTAAGTTGATTGGCTAGTATAGGTCAATGCGTCACTGCCTGCTCCCACTTCATGTCTCCTTACCTCTTTTCTTTTCCATGCATAACAGCCAATCATCTCCTGTGCGACTTTGAGTCTGGTTTCTGCGGCTGGGAGCCATTTCTCACAGAAGATTCACACTGGGAATTTGTGAAAGGGTTGCCCAGTGGAGAGAACCATCTTCCTGAGGCTGATCACCCAGCAAACACAAATCATGGTAAGACATTAAAAAAACAACAACTTGTCTTTCTTTCATGTTGTGGAGTGATGATACTGTGTATTTTCATTTCTACCTATAGATTATGAACATGGAACTTTGGTTCGTCTTGCTTTAAACATCCCAGTCAACTTAATAGTTTGCAGTTAATTGGGTTTCTTGAAAGAAGCATTATTTTAATAATCAACATTTTGTTGCATTTTTTAAAAGGCTGGCGTGAAGGCATGGAGAGGGGGGTAAAGTTCTCTGATAATTTTCTCTACTTGCCAGGAATTATGTATAGTAGGCTTGCCTTCCTTTTAGGAGCAATCCAGTTTTTGCAAAACAGAAAGAAAAATAACTTAATCTTCCTTCTGGGAGCTGAGAAAAGAGATTTAGCACTATCTATAAAATAAATCTACAAACACTTGAATGCAATTTAATCACTGGTTTCTTTGTAAAAGACAACCTTCTTCCTCAGATATATTTCTAACCACCATTAAAATTTTTACATATTCCCTTGAAATAGAGCAACTATGACTACACATAGCATTCCAATAAATATTTGTGAAACTCCTAGGAACACAGAAGAGGTTTACTCTATTTTTTTCTTTTGTTTTGTTTAGATGTCATTGCCCAGATACATTAGTATCCCATTAAATTTAAAAAAACACAACTGAGCTGTAGGTCCTCTTTAAGCTCATATAACCCCACTGGACATTATTTATTTGTTTCTCTTTTAAGATCTCCAAAGAAGTATTCCAAAACTAATAGTGTTACCATATTTTTAAATTATAGCCATTGGAAATTGGGGTTGGTGGGGGAGGATATTCGAGTATGGGAAGGAGACTTTGGCCATCCATCTGTTATCCAAAACTGTAAAAGCAGCCCATTATTTGACAGTGAAGTAAGGTCCTAATTTTTGCTTTTGTGCCAAAGAATTTTATTTTTCGTAAGGATTTTTTTGGCAGAGTGGGTTAAACTTAAAGTTTAAAATAGAAAGGAGACTTAATTATTAGCACTATATATTCATAGGACATTTTATCCAAGCTCATGTAATTTTTTTTTTCTTTTCTTTTCTCAAATCAGTGATGGAACACATACCATATACTAGACTTAGGTGTGTGCAGATGGAGCCACAGTCCCTACCTAGAGGAGGTCAGACTCTAGTAACTGAAGTAGATAAGTAATGATTTGCAATAAGATATGATAAATGTTTTATAAGGGATGGATGGTGACTCAAGTGGATTTGAGATGCCTTACTGTAGGAGATGACTCCTGAAGTGAGCACTGAAGATAAGTGAAAAGTACCAGGCAGGCAGAAGTAAGGAATCTAGGAGAGATGGCAGAAGCAAGAAGAGAGGGCAGGGAATGTACTTTAATTAGAGGAAATGTCCTGAAAGAGGGTAGGAGATAGGTAGGTAGTTCTGGTTGAGAGATGTGCCTATTTGGACAAGGGCTTTAGACAAGATAAAACAGGAGAGGAAGTAAGGGGACTACAGAGAGTGCTTATAAATTTAAAATTTATCTGGAGGGTAATGGTGACTCAGTTAGTCATATTTTATCATGCAGGCAATCAGATTTGTTCTAAAAGTCTGTTCTTACTGAGATGAGGGTAATGGAGAGTGGGAAAGACTGGGGTTAAAAAAAAAAAAAAGGACTGAAGTAACATCAATGAGAGGTGATGCAGGCCTAAACTGAGGTGTGATTCATATCGGCAGCTTCTCACACCGCGTGTGTAGTGGCCTTACCTGACATCTACCATAGCAGGGCAGTGGACACACTAGCTGCCTGGGGTTAAGTCAGGATGTTGATGCTGCACACTTTTGCTTATAACTCTGTGCTTCAGGATTTTTAGCTGGAAAGAACGGAAAATAAAAGTATCTTCCATGTAAAATTATTACAGGAATTAAATGAAATAATACCAGTTAAGGTTTTTCATCTGGTAAGAGCTCAATAAACAATAGATATCTGTTGTCCATTCTAACAGAAATACTGGAAATACCACCAGGACTATGACAACTAGAAAACACATTTATAAGTCACCTTCAGAGTCTTGCCATCTTATAATTACCTCAATTATGATTTATGCTAAAAAAGATTATAGAAGTAAGCATTTTCAGAGAGCAGATGGTGGCACTCTGACAAGAAGCAGAACACCCTTGCTCCCAGCCATGGACTGGATTTACAGTTAAAATACTGCATAGTCAGCTTGGAAAAACAAGAGAAATATACCTGAGTGGACATATTTCGAGTAAGGAGCACTGAAGAAACATCATAGAGACTGGTAAGGGGGGGTTAGAAAGGGCGAGTACTCCCTGAAGCCATTGCTGGCCTGTGAGGCCCGAGAGTGAGAAGCTGCAAAGCTCTCTTCCCTTGGGATTGTGGACTGGCACCCAAAAGCTGGGATCTCAAACCCAGAGAGGAGGAAAGGGGAAGGAGAGACCGTGCAAGGCAGGCAGAGGGAGCCAGGGCAACAGTGTGCCTGCGAGGAGGAGACCGCGCCTTCTCAGTGAAACAGTGCACCTAATGGAGGCAGCTGGGACAAGAGACTTTCATCCCGGGTGTTGACCCCAGGAAAGGTTGTCCTTCAGTGTGTGGCTTCTGAATAGAAAGGGGCCAGAGGACTGCACTCAGCAGCGACTTACAGGGACCCTCTGCTTTCCTGTAAGGCATTGTGTAGAACTCCAGAAAGCATTTGAATTGTGTGGCATGGGGAAGGGGAAGAGAGCCCTCCTACCACCAGAGAGGGACTGGAGCCACCAGTGGGGCAGATTGGGACTCCAGCCGCCAGAGCTGCCAGTGGGGTGAATTGGAGGTTTTTGACTTGCTCTGAAGGCAGCCAGGATAGCATACAAGGAGCTACCCCAGCCTTACTGAGATCAGCTGTGCAGGAGACCTGTGCGGGGCTGACTTTGTGACCCTCCTGCTTGGTTCTGAGGCGCGGGAGCACTGGGACCTCTCAGGGTGGGTTGTCTGCCTGTTAGTTGCTTTATGCATTTTTGATAGCTGAACAGGCATCTACCTTCCTAGCTTGCACTGGGGAGACAGACAAGTGAAAGCCAGGATTTGTGTCTGCATAGTGGAGGGTTTGAACTGAGCACCTGGTGAGATCAGCCAATTCGACTTGGGAAAGGAGGGGCAGAGCATGCCTACCTCTCTCTCAAGCTAAGAGCGCCACCCCCTACAGGAAAGGGGCTGGTTCAGCTCACTGAAGCCCCAGGTACCTCCCATAGGGCACGGTCCTGAGGGGTAAGATAGAACAGCTCACAGGACGACATTAAAAGAATAAGACTCTCAGGGACTATTGTTTGGGAACTGGAGGAAAAACTTAAAGCCCCTTCTGGGGGCTGGGAAGGCAAAATGCTTACAGGACTCTTTTCTTAATCGAACCCACTGAGCCCAGGCCTATGAAACCGCCCATACAGAAAAGGCAACAGACTGAAATCAGTCTGAACCTGCAGCAGGCCAGTGTATGGAGAATGAGAATCAGAGGACAGGATAGGGACTGAAGAGCTGGCTGTGAAGCAGAGACTAACTTCTGCACAGTGAGTGCCTGACAGGGAAACCTCTAAGTAAGGGGAGCAATATCCTAAGCTACACTAGTTGGACCCTAAAGACTCTTCGGAAGACTCTGGAATAAGACCAGGCAACCACAAGGCTGAGGCAAAATAGCTGACAGGTGGAGGTGGTCCACAGAGAGTCTCAGACCAGCCAACTAAGTAAGGACACCAGAGCCAAACCTAGACAGCTCCTGACATTGGCTGGCACACAAGTACCTCCCAGGAGACCCAAAATCAGCATACAAAACAGTGAGCCTCAGACAACATAAACTGCCCAGAGAAACTCACCTGGTTAACTTTTTTATTTTTAGAAAAAAGAGGAAAAAGAAAAAAATTTTTAAAAAAAATTTTAATTGTTTTTAATTTTTTAAGTTATTTTTTAGGATTTGTTTTGTCTTTTTTTAAAAATATATCTTTATTGATTTCATAGAGAGGAAAGGAGAGGGAGAGAGAGAGATAGAAACATCAATGATGAGAGAGTCATTGATCGGCTGCCTCCTGCACGTCCCCGACTGGGGATCGAGCCCGCAACCCAGGCATGTGCCCTGACTGGGAATCGAACCCCAATCATCTGGATCCTGGGTTGACATTCAACCGCTGAGCCACACCTGGCCGGGCGGATTTGTTTTGTCTTGCTTTGCTTGTGTTTTTGTTTTGTTTTGTCTTTTCTCCTATTATCAAAATTTTCTTTATATTCTCTTCTTTATTGCTGGGATATTATCATTATAACAAATCAGTTTATTGCTTTCCTCTATTTTTTTCTCTATATCTCTTATTGGCTTCCTTCCCTGCCCTTGCTTTAACTCTCACTCTCTTTTTGTTCCATTGGCATAACTTTCTTTTCTTTTTCTCCTGTTTTATTCTCTGTAATCCTGTCTTTTTTTCTTTGTGTTTGTCTTTTTATTTTATTTTTATTTTTCCATCATTTTCCCATTCCTACTCTCTACCCTTATTTTTTTTTCTCGCCCTTTATTCTTTTCAAATTCTTTGCCCTTTTATCTCCCAATAGCCTCTCTATTTTTTACTTTTCATTTTATTATTATTACTATTAGCAATAATATCCTTTTCTCTCTTTCTTTTTTTGCTTTAGCATTTGTGTTCTTACTTCACTCTCCCACTTCTACTTTCTCTTGGGTTATTTTCATTGTGATTGTTGTGATATTTTGTAAGTTCCTCTTTGTTCCCTGGCAGTGTGGTTGTGTTTTGTTTTGCCCTGTCAGCACCTGTACAGCAGCTCACACAGTGTGGCTGTGGCTGAGCCTCACAATTAGCCAACCTGAATGGAGAGTCCTCCCATGAAAGGGTCAACAATAACCTAGACCCAATCACAACAAGAGAGCCCAAAGGACCCACAAAAGGAACAAATGTAGAGCAAATAGCTCAGAAGTATAAGGAAAACACACCTCTCGGTCTCACTGGACATACACCAAAATCCCACCTCACAAGACTAGGAGACAG